GCCGGGGACGTGTCCGAACGGCATGTTTACAGCGAAATGGATAAGTTACGATGAAAGGAGGGAAGGGGAGGCTGACACTGCGCCTGCAGGATGGACTAGGTTGTAGAGAGGGTAGACGAACAGATGCGAATGTGGCTGACAGTGGTCCAGCGAAGAATGTTCCGCCAGTGTGCGAAGCGGGCGGCTGTCGGCGAAGCCCAGAGGCGGTGAGGCCGAATGACAACGGGGGTCCTGTCTGACTCGCGACTTCCTATCAGCGCTCCCACTCCAAAGGCAGCCAAAGGGACGGACATACCAAAGGTGTCAAGTAGGAGGGAGCAGGAAGTCAGCGCATAACAGGAGACTTATAGCGGCTGCGCAGCGGTGGCGGAGAGAAAGGGAGAAGCCGGGGTCTTGTGTCTCAGATGTGCTGGCCTGGCAGGACAGGCGCTGCGCACTGCGCACGCCCGCTCGCTGTTCGCGAAGGGCTGCGCGCGGCTCCATTCGGTCACCCCAGAGACGATGACGCACTCCCATCTCAGATCGGGTGGCGCGCCCCTCAAATAGCCGGCGGGGAGGCCCGCTCATTCGCGGCTATTAATAGCGCCTCCGTCGGGCCCGGTTGGGCTGCCTCGCCGTCCACATCCGGACGGGAGACGGAGACACTGGAGACCACGCAGCGACGGCGTTCCCAGCGTTCAAACGTTCACAAATGACAGCGTACTCACACTGGTCTCGAGCAGCGCACGTTCCTACGCCTGGACACGCCTGACATGGTGGCGTGTTGCAGGCGGACCGCTCGACACCGCGTTCATCTCAGAGGTAGTCGTCCGTCTATGCAAGCATGTCAGCAGCTGAGCGTTCAAAAAGGCACCGCAAGCTTACTGATCTCATGCTGACCAAGGACTCATTTAAACGCATATAAACAGTCTCTGCGGATTGGCAACGGCGCGGGACTGGAATAGCACGAGAAAGACGGGCGTAGGGATATGGGGAAACGGCGTGTGCTCGGGCGATGCATCCTCTTCGCGTGAGAGGGGAGATAGTGGGAGGGGGAGGAAGGGACGGGGTCGACCTTCTACCCGATACCGAGGCCTATATATACACCGGGCGTGGTCTCTGTGAAGAGAGAGGTGAATCAACCTGCGCACGAACTAGCACAGCAAGTGTCAACTACCATCCCAATGCGGTCATGCTATGTCGTCATGTCTCGAGATCGCATCGATACGAGGATGGAGCTGACGGCGAGTGAGCTTCGGATTCTTCACGGGACTTTCCGCTCCTCTTTGCCGCGACTGTAGTGCGACTGTCCGCATTTGGGCTGGCGGCCGCGACCAAGGAGACCGACGGCGCGCAACCACAGCTCTGCGCGACAACGACGTATCTGCACTCTGGACCAGCGTCCATTGGAAACAGCTTCGAGAACGTTTCTACTTTGATCTCAGAGCCGTTGAGGCCGAGGTCCATTGTCCGAGTCGCGTTCGCACCGGTACAACGAATTCAACTGACAGCAACTGAACTTAAGTCCTGCACGCTCTTCGAACTCTTCATGGAACATGCCAAAGATCATCCGTATCGGGCTGGCGGGTGCGACGCACGTCAGAAGGTCGACGCAAAGTGGCAGTTCCTCATCAATCTCCAGACCGAGCTACTGAAGCGCTGAGGAGTGTCGTAGAATACGTCCTTCTTTAGTCTCGGCACCGTCGAAGGTCACTTATCGCTAGTGTCAAAAGGTCTTCAATGTTCAATATCTAACTGCGAGGCAGGTTCTGGCATACTTACCAGAACCAGGACCAAACACTCAGGCCGAACGAGAGGCGAACAACACCGCACGTTCAAATCTCGGGTTGTGGGGCACGAGCATCCAGTATATCCGGGGAAGGGGGGCACGAAGACGCGACGATGTGCCTAGATCTCGTTCCTGCAGTTGCTGTACTCAAGCTCTCCCGTAGAATTCCAACTATCGGAAAGAATTGGGTTCCAATAACATCACACTGTGCAACGTACGCATTTAGGTTCCGCGTCCGTATCCAGTACGCCCCCCGTGAATCGTCCTCAGGAACTTGAGCCTGAAGTCGTGTTCTTGTTGTTGCAAGATGTACACGAGGGGCTGCGCAAGGGCCGTCCCATCACGCCCATCATGGGTGAGGCGAATACAAACACTGTTCCCACTTCCGCAGCAGTACCCAGGGGCTGGCAGTCCAGTCTAGCCTGCACTCGAGCACTTGGTGCACGAGCTCCCCATGATCAACGCGACGAAATTGACTGCGATCTTGATCGCACTTGTTCATAATGCGGTCGAGCCTAACGCGCGTGCGGTCCGCATAGAGCCCTGCACGCCATCCCTCACTCGAGCGCAGAGCCGGTCTCCGAGGGCATGTACGGCCTCGCCGGCGGGAAGTCCTTCAGCGGCTCCCTACACACCGCGCACAGAGCCCATCAGTCAGCCCTCGCCAGATGTCGCGAAAAGCGCACGTACGTCCGCACGTCCCACACGTCCTCGCTGCTCTTCTCGACCCGGCGGCGCGCCCACCACTCCGCGCGGCGCCGGATCCACGCGTCGCGCCGCTCCTCGGGGTGCAGGCCCTTCAGCGACATGCAGAACTTGAACTCCGCGAGCTTCGGCCCGCAGACGGACATGTGGCCGTAGCGGTAGAGCGAGGTGAGCTGCTTGCCCACGACTGCGCGCGCGGAGGGGCAGTTTCAGCGGGGAGTGGGGTGGGCGGGGAGGGGGACGTACTGTTGCAGGAGAGAAAGTCGTCGAAGAGCGTCATGCACCCCGGGATGTCGTCCGGCGTGGGGTGCACCTTGCGGAGGTGCGCTTCCTCCTGCTTCACCGCCGTGTCAAAATCGACGGTGGACATGGTCGCGCAGGGCAGATACGGCCTCGGTCGTGTGCAGAGCGGTGAAAGGTGCCAGACTTGTTTTGGACAACTCGAGTCCTCGACGCAGACGACTCGCTCTGAGTTGACGGCGAGCCAATCGCTGGATCGATCACGTGTGACACTATGTGCGCGCGTCCTCCGACGTGCGACGTGCGTCGAACGGATGTATTTTGACTTGCTGGAATTAATGTTTTGTCACAATATTTAGCCTGGCAAAGTTGGACAGTATTGATTTGGTCTCGGTGCTCGTTGGTAAAAATAATCCGTCGCATTCGCCTCGTACATGATCCATTGGACTATGGTAAGATAGCCCCAGCTCATACTCGACTACATCACGTGAGACGTTGACCGCGCGCTTCAAGCCGTTTTGGCAGTGCGATGGTCTTCAAAATCTATCAGAGGTCGACAGAGCCATTAAATATAGTATCTGTTCTCCTAACTTCATTCCAAATGTACTTCCCTTGATTTTTAGGAGAGAAAATCGACGCAGCGCAGGACTGTTTAAGTCCTGATAGACAATCATCAATTGATCCAGCCATTTCATGAACATATTTGGTTTATTAGGAAATAATCGGATTTCCGACGCGAGAGCCAGCACGAATGCCGTCGTTATCAGGTCGCAAGAGGAAGAACCTATCTAATGTTGCAAAGAGGAGCACGAAATCTCCTGGGGTTACCAATGAGCAAGACTCGGGGAATGTGAGTTCATGTCATGCTGTATCATTGATTCGGTGTCGTGGTACTCACTTTCTTGAACCTCGGTAAGACACCTGTCGTAGATGTATAAGAAATGGCAGCTGAGCCTGAGCATGTCAGATCTGTAGAGCCTGACCCCTACGACTCGGAGCAGCATCTGCGGAAGGCCCGGCAAGCGGCTCTTGCAGACGCAGACATTTGCGGAGATATTGATATTGTGGCCTACGTGGGACTCATACCACTGAATCTGACTGTACTCGGACTGACTCCGACAGTAGCAGGCGAGCACCACGAATCGAGCTGTTCTTGTATATGCCTGGAGTCTCCTAGCATGCTGCATGAATGTGCAGAACCGTGACACCGTGAATTCGTCAGAACATGATACATTACAATGACTATGGATAGCCAAACTTCGTGACCGCACTACATCTCCCTCCTGTTCTGGTCTTTATCCTTACAGCTCTATAACTGCTACTATAGATCATTCTTTTCTCGTCGACCATTCATATACTTACAGTAGTACTACCCTCGCTGACCCGAGTCGAAACCCTAGCTGTAACCCTAGTTGGATAACCCGGATATGGACAGATCATGTGACTCTGGAGAGACGCTGAGAGTCGTCGAGGATGAGCTGGGGCTATCTTACACTATCCTACTCGTCTGCTCCCGTACGAATGGGCCATCGGTTGGCCATCGGCCAAGACATCATAACAGCCTGAATACTCGCGAATGAGTTAATGTCAAGCCGTCGCGATCAAAATACCGGCGCCACGTACCATCAAACTGGCTTTCCTTGGATAGCAGGAGACAACACATTAATCACCACTTACGAGCAACCCTACTCCATGTCGAATCGATGTTGCTCACGTACCATGCAGGCGCCTCCTGGATACCAAGTTTCTCCCGCATCTTCCCGACCTCGCCGTCAGAGAGCCCAGCCCAGCTCGTACTAGTTCGAGTAGACGGAGATCACCAGGTTGTGCGGGTCGTGCAGTGCGCCGCGGACACGGAATGGCTGCCTCGATGCGGGCAGATGACGCATATTCACACCGGCCTCTTTCGCCATGGTATAAAGAGCGCTCTCTGCAGATACAGTCGGCTGAACGCGAACCTCGCCGTCTTCCTCCTCCTCTTCATCTTCTGCGTCGCCCCAGTGCACGCTCCCCGTGTCGCTCTCGCCGTCCGAGTCATCAGAGAGATACAATTTCTCACCGGAGGGCGTCGTAGGCTTTCTTAGATAGCCGATGACGGTGTATCTCGTGAGCTTGTGCTCTTCCGCGTATTCGAGGAGCTTTGGGAGGAGATCACCGATTGACCAGCCGTAGTACAGGACGGGAGGTTTCCATGCAGCGTCCAAGTCTGGGATCAAGCTGCGATGGAGTCGCGGTAGAGGATCCATAAGTACCACCGTAACTTACTGGCCGTAGACATTCGATATCCATGTCGCTATACAGCCGTAGCATCCCCTCTTTCTCTCTACCCTCTGTCGATCCTCCCGGCCAGAAGCATGCTCTTCCTGCTCCGTACAACCAGCCTCCCTTCGAGCGCGGCTCGCTGACCGACGAAGTAAGTCTCGTTCTGGCTATGCAGTTGTTCAAGGTCGTAGGCGATGAAGCGCGTATCTAGTAAGTAAGTACGGCGGACAGGTGTCGGGCCGCTCCTCCGGGTGAGCCACAGAGCTCGGGCACATGATCGCGTCGCGCGTCCTCTCCTCGAGCGACGAGCTGGACGTCTCGACTCTCGACGCTTCAGTTTGGTCATGGCGAAGTTGTCTGCAAGGCTGTACAGACAGGTAAAAATACGAGAAACGGTGAGTGCTCGTCTTGATAACTGGAGACTTACATGTGAGAACAAGCGGAACGACGGTCGACGGGCGCGAGTGTCCCGGGCGCGGACGATGCCCAAAGGGCAATCGCGTGAGGTAGGTACATCGAAAACTACGGTTTATATACCCTGACCTCCCTTATCTTCATTCAGGAACTATCTCGGCCGACCTTGCGAGCTCGTGCCTAAACGCATGTTCCAACATTACATGGCTGTACGGCGTTGCAATTGAACCATAGCCACATTGGACTCGGACTCGGTCCCCGAACCCATTGAATGAGTGCTGCGAAACCACTAGCAGAGCCTAGGTTGGAGGACTGCGACACGGATGTGCCAGGCGAGTTGAAGCACCGTCGGTACGTCGAGAATTTCTCCGGATGTGAAGCAAATACTGACATTTGGCCAGATACGGCTATGGCGTATGTTGTCGCTGTACCTGGTCGCGCGGTGACTACGCGGTACGGTGCCCCATCTCAATGTCACAGTCGGCACGACCTTCTTCCTCCTGCACGCCCTGCCCCTTACGTGCATCCCGATGTCCTGGCCCACCTTCCCCGCCAACTTCTTCGCTGGTGTGTTTAAGAACGAGACGAACGTCTCCGCGATCGGCGTGACGTCCGGGCCGTCAGCTCTATGATCACGCGCTTGGCGGCGAGCTCCCGAGAAATGGTGAACCTGCTGGTCGGTGCGGAGTCCATGCCGACGAGCTCTACACGTCCAGTCAGGGCCCTCTCAATAAGGTGGGAAATCGCCTGATATGCCATGGTGAACGGAAGCAACCCGTCCTTTCAGCATGTGGCTGTCTCCCGACATTTGGGTCACAATGTCACGACGTTAGTCTCCGCTCCCCCGCTCCCCCGTCAATTGCGATCAATCTTCTCGGCTTGCTCTATTCCACCTGGGTCAAGCACCTCGTGTCGCCGCTCGCACGGCGGAAGCCATCGAACGATGTGTACGACCGAGTGCCGCTGGAGGACATCGAGGACCGGCGAGCCACCGACGCTGCCGCCGCGCTGGCCATATGACTGCAGGACACTCATTTAGCCGAGTCGCATGTATCCGCGGTTGCTCGCCGGGAGAGCACACCGATCGATAGGTCGGCATCGTCGTTACGCCCGCGTTCGTCCATCGGACGGCAGCCGGAGTGAGCGCGTACTCCGGCTTGAGGTGCGAACCGTAATGCGTTAGTGACAATATTATCATGTGCTCTCGACGGTGAGGTTCTGTGGGCGGATGGCCTATTGATGTGCCGTCCGGTAGGTCCTCTGTTAGGGCGGGACCATGGTGGATGCAGGCGGCGTCGCGGTGGTGTTTGTAGTAGTCACTCCTTTGTCCGTAATTAGCGGACATAGCCTTGCCATGCCCAATGTTGACATTGATAGACGTACGACGTAAAGCAGACGACGACCCTGCGTACGCACAACATTAGTTGGTACATTCAAACATAGTCTCCGTTGCTGAACAAAGAGATACTTATAATGCAAACACTTCTCTGATGTCGCGGCAAGACCTGTCAAAACCAGGCCGACGTTGATAAAACTAGTGAAACATGGATGGATAGGAGACAACAGCAGACAGTGGATATAACTACATCAGTGATCCAGCGACGAGACGATCTACACGGGTAACAGAATGCGAGCGTAGCGATGCAGACAGTCAGTCTTCGGGAGAGACAATAGAATACAGAAGCATGCGTTCATCATCGCTCTGGAGTTGGGCCGCGCGACAGCCGACGGCGCGGCAGCTCGCTGTGGGTCCTTGTACGCTTTGATGGACCCACTGCGAGATCCTCGTCGGCTCCAATCAGGTCCTCTTGGGACCGTTTCCGGCCACTGCGAGACCCGCTCGCCGTGGTTCCCTGCCTCCCTGGCGCCGGCTCTTGATGTTTGCCTTTGGAACGACTGGACGACGAACCGCGGGGCGCGTCGGATGCCTTGCGAAACAGGGGCATACTAGGCAACGCGCCTGAATGAGCTGAGGAGCCCCTTCGTGACGACGGCGTAGGCGACTCGGGAGAAGGCAGATTAGCCAGACTCGGAGGTCCCAATGGGCTTGCCCATCGCTCGAAGGCTGGCCCGGCACTTGCATTACGTGGTGTTCGGGCGAGTGGTCGGCACCCTGAGCGTTTCCGAAGGTCGGCCATGCCGGCGGGCGAGACAACAATCCGCTGCCTCTTGCGCCACGCTGGCCTCGCGCGAGTGGACGTCCCACCACAGGGGCATTGACTCCGCTTCCAGGCGCGATATTGGATGGTACTGGATGATGCTGACCGCCCGAGGTCATTTGACTGCCGGTGGACATCCAGGTACTCCCGTCACGCGCTTCATGAAGCGGCGCCGTGTCATTGTCCCCGGCAGGCTTGAAAGGGATTGCCGCGTCGTTTTCCGGCCAGTCCGTGCGGGCGAGAGCTCGGTCAAAAATATCCAGCACGGCGGCGTACGTCAATGGGGATGGGGCTGGCGTCGAAGCACTCCTGTGAGAGTTCCCTTCACAAAGGTTCGAGAATTCGTTGAGGAGATTGCTCAGAGGTTCGTTGTCATGGACAGCAAAGTCACTTCCAAAAAACCCTCTCTTCTGGCCGGCGCAAGCGATGTCGCTAGGCCCGTCAAATAAGACCTTCATCAGACTATGCGGATCAGGGTGATCATGTCTTGTGTGCCTGAAAACGAGCCAGACCAAGAGCCAAAAGAACGACTCTAGGTCATGTCGTGCTTGATGAACGATGCCGCGGCCACGCAGCACTTCTACGGCCATGAAGTAGAACGTGCCCTAAAGCAAAGAAGTATGAGTGAATGGAGTCAAACTGTCCATTGCGCTTAGACTTACTGTACGCTGTTTGAAATCCATCTTGTTCCTCGCCTCGCCTCCAGACACGGCATCGCTGGCCAACACAACCCTGCTCGCCCCGCCGCCATTTCTGCTGCGTCGCGAGCTTTGATGTACGGGATTGACAGTTGGGCGCGCTCTTCTTGTGGCCGCTCAACCAGTCTGACATCGCTGCGAGCTGCCGGACGTTTTCGATCGGCTCCCAAGTGTTCTTCTCGTCCCCAAAACCCTTCCACTTCACAAATACTCCTTGCCCGTCGATGTCTTTTCTTCCGCAAGAATTTTCTCTACGGGCCATACTTTCTCCCCTTGGAGTTGATCAACGGGCGTGGGGGTGGAGCTTTCTTCTCGTTGCCAGTATCACGGAGCGGCTCTTGCCCAGCGTTCGCAGCAAGCACCGGGCCGAAGATGTCTTCTCCCCGGATACCCGTCTTCGTCTGGACAAACTGCTCCCAGCTCTCCAGCGTGTCCTCGTAGCCCTCGTCGCGTAGGAACTCCTTCCAGTCGAAGCCGTAGTCGAGATCGTGCAGGAAGCCCCTGCCCTGGGTGAGCATCACGTTGCCTTCACTGACGTCGCGGTGCATGATGCCAGCTTCGAAGGCCAGCCGATGACCTGCAAACGCACGACGATAAGCAGTCAGTCCACATGTCGCCAGAGGCGTGCATCAAGAGGCGTGCGCACCGTGTATTGCATCTCGAAGCCCCTGCGTCATCTCCTTTGTACGCTGGAATTGCGAGATTGGGGTGCCGATGACGTCCGAGACGAGGCGCATATGGCTCCGCTCGTACCATTGGTGCGCACCGTTCACTTGGTGTATCCCAGAGCGTGTTCTGTGCCCAACTGGCTTTTCGTCCTCTACGTGTAGTTCCTCTTCTTCTCCAAGGTCAGCGCCCGCCACGACTGTCGCCAAGCCACGCCACTCCGCGTTCCACACAGCCATGAAAGCCTCCTCATCTAGGCGGTCCCATTTCTCAGTCGCCGTTTCGGAAGAGTTGAGCGGCGGCACGACGTGGGTACGGATCTGTCTATGGAACTTGAGTTCCGACTCCCGCACGAGCTGACGCCACGCGTCCTTGATGACAACGTGTTTACCAGTCGGTTCGCCATGGTCATCGAGCTCCAAAGCCTTCCATATCGTCGTCGCGCGGGAGAAGAGGCGTGGGTTGATAAAGATCAGCTCGTAGAGGAGATACTTCTTGTCCTTGCCCTTGTCCGCGCCCTCGAGGGTGATCCAGCGACACGCCTTCTTAGTTTCGTCGCAGACATCAACGCCACAGGAGCGCAGTTTTGGCTTCACGTCGCGCGGGTGCGAAGTCGCGAGCTGAACGGCCGGATCCGCACCGACGATGTCACAATCCTTGTGAATCGGATGCACGAGACGCCAGAAGAACTCGTGAAGCACCGCGCCGTTGTGAGACTCATACTCGAATGCCTGCGAGCAAACAGCGCCGGCGTGGTCGAATCGAAAGATACGTGCGAGGCGTCCATAGATGCCGACTGTGAAAACGAACAGCCGGCTTTGGGCGACGAGGATGTTACGCGCGCTCTTGGATAGTTGCACTAGCGTCTCGTCGTTGACTTTCGAGCAGTATAACATCGGATCCTCCTTGTCCGTCCTCTTCGCCTCGAACACGACGGAGATGTTCCGCCAGCGATTTGGGTGAGACGATTTGAATGTCTGACCGGGCAAAGACGCGACGACATCCGGTTTCGTCGCGTGCTGGTCCTGCTCGGCGAGGAGGAAAGGGAACTTGATCGGCTCGTGTGCGTTGTTGTAGAAGCACGGACGCTTCTCCTCTGGGAAGTGTCCGACTATCGCCTCCAGTCCCGCGCACTAAACAATGTTCAGCGAGTTACTTATGCTAATCTGCCATCACCACGTACCAGAGGCCCGTACATAGCCGACTCCGACCCGCCCACGGGTAGTCTGAAAGGATCCTTGGCCGTCGACGGGACCATCGCCATCTCGCTGGGCACAAAGAAGTCCAGGAACTGGTCGATGGGGATAAGTACCTCCACGATTTTACCCTCCACTTCGCTCCTCCAGCCGCCCTTGTTGACTTCGCTCGACTGTAGGGCGTCGTTCTGGTAGATCGTGTACACGCGCGATTTCATTTGACGGGGTGTTGGGTGCGCCATCGGAGAAGGCGTCGTCTGACGATGGGAACAGAGAGTATCGGGCGGGAGACTACAGCGGGAGCTGCACAGGGCGCCGTGCGAACGCGACCTGCGCGAGGCTTTAAAGCGGTGAGGCATGTCGGCGGTCCAAGCCAATGGCCGACGTTGTGTTCAAAAAAGGCAATATCGCGGACGCAGTTCTGTCTGATGGACCTATGAGTCAGTCCATTGTTATCGCCCAAACGGGCAGGCCGAGACACTTACCGTCCAGTAACCGCGCGATTTGTGGGTTCACCACCTCAATGAGTAGGTTTATGGCCACCAAAAATACGTCTATGGCGACAATTAGCGAATATTACGCGGAAATCGCGTCCCAGTATATGCAGGCAGTGCGGGAATGAGGAGGATGGTTGAGCAACGGGACAGCGCCACAACCGCGCTCGTGGATCAGGCGGAGTGTGAAAGACAAATCGGGGCTACCACGTGTTGATCACGTGGCTCCATCGCACCCATTGTTCGTCTGCTTTTGGAAGGTGATGCCTTCGCAACCTTGTACTTTCCACCTGGCGGCATCACAGCCACGCCTTCTTCGAAAACCTCAGCGCTATATGCATGTGGTCCTGATGCGCGTGGGCGATAAGCACACCGGATCCAGGCCAGAAAGGTGCTGCTTGCCCGGGCTCGTCCAGATCGTCCTGTATGTATGTAGGTCTGGTGCGTATTCATACTGAACGATGGCTGGCAGTCGCCACAGACCCTACCTGATTTACGGCTCATGCGCTCGTGAGCTGATATTTACACGCATGTAGTATTGATCCAGATTCAGACTTCTGGCGCTCAACGAGCCGACGTGCGAGCTAAGGCTCCAGAATGCTGAATGCCATACAATGCTCCCCGCATGATGGCTTATGTACGATATCCAGCACGCAGAACGCGATTTAGTCTTCGAGACAAGATCTATTTCGCATGTTCGCGCCACTTTGTGCAGACCGCAGCGTAGAAAATGTCAAGACGCAATAGAACCCTGGCACCGCCGGGCACATGATCGCGTCGCGGAGTCTCATGGACGCCTCGATGCTTCAGTACTTCAGTCCGACCGGTGAAGCTGTCTGCAAGGCCCCAAATCTATAGAACGAGTGCCGCAAAGCCACTGGCAGAGCCTGAGGTTAGAGGACCTTGACACAGATGCTGTGGCTCCGGAGAGCTGCAGCACCGTCGGTACGTGGAGCATTTCTCCGGGTGTGAAGCAGGTACTGACATTTGGCCAGGTGGCTGTGGCGTACGTTAACGCTGTATTGAATTCGGCACAGCGACGAGCGACCTCTAGCAACAAGCAACGTCATGGATGTGCCGCTGTTTCTCCTCGACATGCAGCTTGTCATCGCTGTCGTGCTGTTCCTATGCTCGGGATGCCGCAGCTCCCATCAAGTTGCCACTGGCAGGTCGACTTGTCCTTCTACCAGGTCGCGCGTGGCATGGTGTTCCGTCTCACAGTCGGCACGACCTTCTTCCTCCTGCACACCTGGCCCTCGCTTCGCATTTCGACGTCCTACCCCACCGTCACTGCCCGCTTCTTCGCTGGTGTGTACATGAACGAGACGAACGTCTCCGCGATCGGCGTCACGTCCGAGGCCACGGCCGGTGCTGTCAGCTCTATGATCGCCGCGTCGTGCATGATGAAGCTGCTGTCGGTCCGGAGTCCACGCTGGTGAGCTCTACACGTCCAATCTGGGCCCTCTCATCACGGTGAGAAACACAGTGGCCTGCTATGACGAACGCGTCCTTTCAGCATGTGGCTTTTACCGACACCCGGGTCACGTCGTCACAACGTCGGTCTCCGCTTCTCCACTGCCTCGTCAATCGCGATCATCCTTCTATGCTCGTTCTATTACTATACCTGGGTCAAGCACCTCGTGTTGCAACATGCATGGCGCGACACGTCGAATGGTGTGTAAGACTACGCCGCTCGAAAACAACGAAACGGGCCCTTGGAGGCGAAACGTAGTACATCAATGGCAACCAGCTTGTTAGATATGCACTTCCGACGCGTTGTGCGCGCCCATTCCGATTTAGGTTCAATGAACGAGGTCTGGTGAGTTTCTGTGGGCGGATGGCGTTGTAATGTGTGTTCGGTGAGTGAGAACCTTTCTGATAAAGTGGGACCATGGTGGATGTGGGGGCCAGCCACTCCGTGGGGTGTCGGCGTCGCGGTTCTATTCGTGGGTGCTTGCCCTCTGTTGTCGAGCGCGGATCTTGCGCAGAGGGACGGACAGGTTGTGGATAGCACGATCCTCCCCTGCGTTAGTTCTCGGTGTTGTCGGTAGTCAGTGAAAGCAAGTGACACAGCTAGTCTTTACAGCGTTCCCGGCTGCGGTCCTACGCGTATCGCACGGCCGGTGAGCATCAATGGTCAGACAGAAATGGCGGTACCACATGACTGGCTCCTCGTGCACGCGTACTTCGTGTGAGTGTAGGCAACTACTTCCTCTCTCGCCCCCGCGACCGTATGTCTGCAGCCATATCACATCAAAACTCGAATGATCCATACTTGATTGGCAAACATTGTTCTGCCTTGCCCAACGTCGACATTGACTTGCAGTACGGCGTAAAGTAGACAACGATCCAGCGAGGCGGCGTAATACGTACAAATCAGTTGGTACTCTCAAACGTGTTCTCGATGTCACGGCAAGACTGGTCCATGCAGACGATTTTGATAGAACGGAGCTTGAATGGATGGCAGACAACAGTAAACAGTAAGTATGAATACAGCGGCGATCTACTGACGAGACTAGCTACATGAGTAAGAGAGTACAAGCCTGGCGCTGCAGATTGATTGGAGACAATCACATTCTAACGGAGAGGGGACAGAGAAGAGCAGGGCTACGCGACGCCCGACGGAATGGCATTTGTTCGCTGTGGGTCCTTGGACGCTTTGAAGGACTCACTACGAGATCATCGCCGGATGCAATCAGGTCCTCTCGAGACCGTTTCCGGCCACGGCGAGACCCGCTGACCGTGGTCCCTTGTGCCGTCTCTTGGTGTTCGCCCTCGGAACGATTGGAGGACGAACCGCCGCACTCGCCTGATGCTTCGCGAAACGGGGGCATAGGCAACACGACGGAACGAGACGAGCCCCTTCGTGACGACGGCGTAGGGTACTCTGGAGTTAGATTCGGCGGAGGTACGAACGGGCTCGCCCATGGCGCGAAGGCTGGCCCGGCACTCGCGGCACGCGGTGTTTGTGGCAAGTGTTCGGCACCCTCAGCGTCCCCAAAGGTCTCCCATGCAGGCCGGCGAACAAGTAATCTGCTGCCGCTTGCGCCACGCTCGCCTCGCGCGAGTGGACGTGCCACGACAGGCGCGTCGATTCTGCTTCCAGGCGACATATTGAATGGTACTGGATGCTGAGCCCCCGAGATCATCTGACTGCCGGTGGACATCCAGGTACTCCGGTAGTGTGCGTCATGAAACGGCACCGTGTCAGTGTCCTCGACAGGCTTGAAAGGGATTGCCGCGTCGTTTTCCGGCCAGTCCGTGCGAGCGAGAGCCCGGTCAAAAATATCCAGCACGGCGTCGTATGTCAACGGGCTTGGGGCTGTCTTCGAAGCCCTCTTGTGGAAGTTTCCTTCACAAAGGGTCGAGAACTCATCGAGGAGAGCGCTCAGAGGTTCGTTGTCGTGGACAGCAAAGCTACTCCCCAGAAAGCCTATCTTCATGAGGGCGCAAGTAAAGTCGCTAGGTCCGTCGAATAAGGCCCTCAGCAGAGCATGCGGATCAGAGCGATTATGTCTTGTGTGCCTGAAAACGAGCCAGACCAAGAGCCAAAAGAACGACTCCAGGTCATGCCGTGCTTGATGAATGACGCCGCCGCGAAGCACCTCCACAGCCATGAAGTAGAACGTTCCCTGTAGCAAGGGAGCGTGAGTGAACCGAGGCATCTTACCCATTCAGCTCAGACTTACTGTGCGTTGCTTCAAGTTGTAATACATCCTGTTCCTCGTCTCGCCTTCAGACATGCCGGCATCGCTAACCAACACAGCCCTGCTTGCCTCACCGCCGTGTTCTGCTGCGTGGCGAGCATTGATGTATGGGATTGACAGTTGAGCACGCTGATCACGTCGCCGGCTCAACCAGTCTGACATCGCTGCGAGCTGCCGGGCGGTTTCGATCGGCTCCCATGTGTTGTCCTCGTCTTCGAAATCCTTCCACTTCACAAGATACTCTTTACCCGTAGTTGTCTTTTCTTCCGCAAGAATTTTCTCGGCGCGCCGCTGCTTCCGGCCCTTGGAGATGATAACTGTGCGCGCGGGGTCAAGCATGTTCTCGTTGCCGGAATTAGAGAGTGGCTCTTGCCCAGCGTTGGCAACAAGCGCCAGGCCAGAGACGTCTTCCCTTAGTATACCCTTGTTCGTCCAAATAAACTGCTCCCAGCTCTCCAGCGTGTCCTCGTAGCCCTCTTCTCGTAGGAACTCCTTCCAGTCGAAGCCATGGTCGAGATCGTGCAGGAAGCCCCTGCCGTTGGC